CTGGCTGGGCAACATGGAGAAACCCCATCTCTACCCAAAATACATAGTAGCCAGGCATGGTGGTGTATGCCTGTGGTCCCAGCTACTTGGAAGGTTGAGGTGAGAGGATCACTGGACCCCAGGAAGTTGAGGTTGCAGGGAGCTGAGATCGCACCACTGCACTCCAGCCTGGGCCACAGAGTGAGACTCTTTCATCCAGGCTGGATGCAGTGGCACAATCTCGACTCCCTGAAATCTTTGCCTCCCAGGCTCGAGCGATTCTGCTGCCTGAACCCGGGAGTGGAGCACCCTGCAGCCTGGCTTCTACCTCTAGTCCCTGGGCCCACTGTAGCACAGTGTGGAGCCAAATATCTGGATTTGAAACTGGCTCTGTTGCCTACCAGCTGTGTGACCCTGGGAAAGTCATTTAGCTTCTTTGCCTCAGTTTCTTCAACTGTGAAATGGAAATAATATTTTCTCCCTCAAGGCATTGTTGTAAGGATTGGTTCAATGTGGATAAGGCCCTATGAGGAAACCTTCATATGTTATCACCGAGTGAAAGAGGCTGTGGAGTTTGGCCTGGAGGCGGGGGTTGAGGGTGGAGGGTCGGAAGTCTTCCCGGAGCATGCCCACAGAGAGAGGGGCGGCGGACATTCTGGCAAAGGGACCACCTGACCCTTTGGGGAGCTTGGAGTTGGAGTCAGTGTTTGGTGCAGGAGCCTCCTGGAAGGCCTGGCTGCAGGGTGCCACGACCTCCTGTCACGAGCTGCCCTGCCTTTTCCACCTCTCCCGTCCTCCCCATGTCAGCAGCCTTTCTCCTAAGGCACCCCAGGATCGGGAGGACTCCGTTTTCCAATCCTCTATCCCCGCTTCCCAGGCACCTGGCGTCCCCGCAGATCAATCGTGTTTGCAAGCTGGGGGGCTGAGGAGTTTGGGCTCATTGGCTCCACGGAGTTCACAGAAGTGAGTGGCCCTACCCTGTAGGGGATTTAAAGGGGTTCCCAGGGCAGCACGGCACAGTGCTGACGTCGACCCTCGCACCCGCAGGAATTCTTCAACAAGCTGCAGGAGCGCACGGTGGCCTACATCAACGTGGACATCTCGGTGTTTGGTATGGGGGTGGCGGGGCGGGAAAGGGGAGGGGACGGCCTGACGACGGGGTGGGTAAATGAAGGGGCTGGGGCCCAAACAGTCTTTCTCCCCTCCTCCCACAGCCAACGCTACCCTCAGGGTGCAGGGGACGCCCCCTGTTCAGAGTGTCGTCTTCTCTGCAACCAAAGAGGTGGAAGTGGGCGGGCCCAGCGGGGCTGAACTAGCGGGGGCGGGGCAGTGCGGTGGGCGGGGCCGCGTGGGCGGGCGGGGCTGGGAGTGGTACTCTCTACATCTGCTGGGGCTGAAGTGAGAGGCTGGGGCGAGCCTCGTAAGGACTGGACCGTGGGTGGGCTGGAGACCGGCGGAGGACACCCCTTGTTGTTGGGGCTAGGGAGGGCCCTGCACCGAGACTAAATTCTTCCTCCTGCCAGATCCGCTCACCAGGCCCTGGCAACCTGAGCATCTACGACAACTGGATCCGGTACTTCAACCGCAGCAGCCCGGTGTACGGCCTGGTCCCCAGGTAAGCCCCGGTTCGGAAGAGGGCCCGGGGCTTGGCGGTCCGGCCCAGCGCTCTTTATCCCGGCCCCCTTCCTTCTCGCAGCCTGGGTTCTCTGGGTGCTGGCAGCGACTATGCACCTTTCATTCACTTCTTGGGCATCTCCTCCATGGACCTCGCCTACACCTATGACCGGGTGAGCAGGAACCCCTCTGCCCCTGTCCCGGTACCTTGCTGCACGCACCACCTACCTCCTCTTCCTGGGGCTGTTCTGGTATAGACTGAACCCTTCTCCTTTACTCATTGCTACTTCTGCCAAGTTTCTTAAACACACACACACACACACACACACACACGCACATATTATATATAGATGGAGTCTTGCTTTGTTGCCAGGCTGGTTTTGAACTCATGGGCTCAAGCCATCCTCCCACCTCAGCCTCCCGAAGTGCTGGGATTACAGGCATGAGACTCACCGCCCGGCCTCTGCCAAGTTGTGTAACCTTTTCAAGCATCTCTTTATGCTCATCTATGTTATTTTATCAAATGTAAGATACTACTGATTATAAGACGTGCCATTATGCTATGCAACACTCAGGAAAAAACACCACCACTTCCAACCAGTTGTAGGATGCCATTGCCTGTAAGAACTGTCCTGTTCTAGAGATCTTAAAGTGTGAGGCGAAAAAGTTAATCTCAGCATCGATTAACTCAGAGTATGAAGCAGGGATGACCCATACCATTGGTATGAGTGTTGGGGTAAAGGTAAAACAAGACAAGGGGTGCACAGTGACCAGCTGGAATCTCCATTTCATGCTCCAAAAAGTGCGTTCTCCACTTCACAGTGACAGCGATTCTCAGTAGTAGAGATGGGATTTCAATCTCTTTATCTGACTCCAAAGCCCCAGGTTCTTCTCCTTCCTGTGAAACTGGAAACTGGCACCAGACCCAGCTCTGCCACTGATTAGCTGTGTGATGTCAGGCAGGTTAACCTCTCTGAGCTTCAGTTTCCTTTTCTGTGGAAATTCTAGAACCCACCTCACATACATGAGCAGGATCCAATGGAGATAATGGCCACATTTTGTAGCTCCCTGGAGGTATACGTTCTCCCACTTCCCATCCCAAGCCTCTCACCTCTGGGCCTTGTTCCCCCAGAGCAAGACTTCAGCCAGGATCTACCCCACCTACCACACAGCCTTTGACACCTTTGACTATGTGGACAAGTTTTTGGACCCAGGTGAGGAGGGGTCAAGGGGCATCCTGAGACCGGGACAAGAGAGGCTGAAGACCCAGCCCTGGCCTTGTGACCCTTGCTGCAGGCTTCGGTAGCCATCAGGCTGTGGCCCAGACAGCAGGGAGTGTGATTCTCCGGCTCAGTGACAGCTTCTTCCTGCCTCTCAACGTCAGTGACTACAGTGAGACACTCCTCAGCTTCCTGCAGGCAGCCCAGCAAGACCTCGGGGCCCTGCTGGAGCAGCACAGCATCAGCCTGGGTATGCACAGCCCCTGATGCTGAGGCGCGGGGAGCCCTGCACCCCCAGGACTAAGCCACTGCTTGTTCCTCACAGGGCCTCTGGTGGCTGCAGTGGAGAAGTTTGATGCAGAAGCTGCAGCCTTGGGCGAACGCATATCGACACTGCAGAATGGCAGCCCTGAGTGAGCAAGGGCAGCAGGCAGGGTCTGGGAGGGCAGTATCCAGGGAAGGATACCAGGCTGGTAGCTGGGCTGCTGGCTCCAGGGTGACCGGCAGGTCCTGCCTCCACCAGCCCCCTGCAGGTCCGGATGCTCAATGACCAGCTGATGCTCTTGGAACGGACCTTCCTGAACCCTCGAGCCTTCCCAGAGGAACGCTACTACAGGTGAGTCTGTTCCCAAGTCCTGGGAGCTGCCTCCCGGTGGGGCCGAGCAAGGCCCTCAACCTGAGAGGAGGTGGGTAGCTTCTCTGCCCTTTACAGCACAACCCAGCCCCTGAAGAAGTTGGGAATGTGAGGCTCAGGGAGGGGAGGAAAGTTGCTTGAGGGTCCCTCTGGGAGCTGAGACTAGAACCCACATATCCTTCTCCACTGCCACTGCTGTAAGAGCCCCCCGGCTTCCAGAGACAAACGGAGGGAGATGCTTTTCTGCCTAGCTGCATACAGGAGCTGAGCCAGTTCCAGACACAGGCTGCTCTTTCCTGACCCTGATCCTGTTTCATTTCTCCCACCAGCCATGTGCTCTGGGCGCCTCGCACAGGCTCCGTAGCCACATTCCCAGGCCTATCCAATGCCTGCTCCAGGGCCAGGGACACAGCCCCTGGATCTGAAGCTTGGGCTGAGGTGCAGAGACAGATCAGCATTGTGGTGATGGCCCTGGAGGGTGCAGCAGCCACCCTGAGGCCTGTGGCTGACCTCTGACCCCAGCCCTCTTCCTTCAGCCCTCCCTTTACCCCCACCCTTTCCTGCCTGCTTTCCTGAATGTCCTTGTCTTCCTTGGTGCCAGGGGAGGGCACAACCACAGGACCCTCTCAAGCTTCTCAGGCAACAGCTTGGGGTCCCTGAGGGGAGTGGCAAGCCCTGATGCAACTCACCCTCAACCTGGCACAGGTGGCAGAGGGTGGGCAGAGGGGACAGGGATTGTGGGAATGGCAAAACCACCAACTGCTCTTGCTGGCGGGTGGGTGAAGATGGGATGCATGCCAACTCAGATCACCAAGGCCAAGGACCAGTGGAGAAACTGAGGCACAGGGTGCCCTGGGCTTTGCCTAGTCTGTTTTCCTCTCCCTGCATGCTGGGTGTCCTAACTCCCTACAACAGCTCCCCAAATAAATCAAGTCAAGTGACTGGTACCAACAAAACAAGTTCCTTTTATTATCTGGGAACCATGGAAAAAGAAACCTAAGTGCTCTGACCCAGTCCGGGGCTCTGGGAGGCTCATGTTCCCTCCTCAGGTAGGGATCCAGATCTGTCCATGCCCTCATCTTCCTCCTCTGCCATGACCACCTCCTCCAGGGTGCGTCCTCCAAGTTTGCTTTCCACTAACACCTTGCATGTACCGGCGGGTGGTAGCCCTTCCTCCACGTAGCGACCCCTCAGGAACACAACTCTCTCCTCTCCGTCCAAGGGCAGCCCGTGGGCCTGGCACAGGTCCCGTGCTTCCTTGAGTCCATCCAGGGCCAGCAGGTTGACCATAAAGCCCAGAGGCAAAGTCTGGCCCTTGGGGGTGCTAAAGGCACGAGCGAGGCGGGCCAGGGCTTCCCGGCGTGCATGGCCCACATGGCACTGCACAGCACAACTTGGCAGGTAGGGCAGGGTCTGGAGTAGGCGGAACAGGCGGGCAGCATTGCCCTCTCGGAAGGCAGCATCTACTGCCAAGGCCTTGCGGAGGGGCGGGCAGGTACGCAGGGCAGCAGGTAGCTGTAGAACCTCGCGCAGGGCCTCCACTGAGCCTGTGAGGGTGGGAAGCCAGAATGAGGATGCCAGGTCCTTACAGGATCAGGACCATCTCCACTCCCAACTCTTCATTCTTCCTTGCCACGCCCACCTTCCTCTGGCCCAAGCTCAGCTCCAGACCTCCCTCCCACCTACCTGAACACACCCCTTCTCCAGGCCTAGCCCACCTTCCCTCCTCCCTCTAAGGTCCAGCCATTGGCTCCTTCCCTGACCCATATTTGAATGAGTTGCCTCAGGCTCTAGACCTCCTGCAGTCCGGATCCTTACTTACAACACTGAGGTAGGCAGGGTGTACCGCTTTGGGAAGCTGGCCCAGATAATGTAATGAATGACTCGTCTGAGAGTGGTGACCCCAATCCAAGTTTTCTGACTTGATTTCCCACTACCCTGGCTTCCCTGCACCCACAGTTTTGGAAGCCAATTCTGCCTCACCTTCTCCTGACCACCCCAGAAGGCCAATTCTTCAGGAGATTATGCTCCTACTTCCCTTCCAGAAGAGTTTCAGGCACTGGAACCTTGGGCCACTTTTGTAAACTGGGGCTTCTAAACAATTAGTAGGTTGTGAAGTCAACAGCATTTTGTTACAACTGTATAGAACAGTCTTTTTTTTTGAGACCACTTGCTCTGTCACCCGGGCTGGAGTATAGTGGGTCACTGCAACCTCCACCACCTCGCAGGTTCAAGTGATTCTCCGGCATCAGCCTCCCGAGTAGCTGGGATTACAGGCATGTGCCACATGCCCAGATAATTTCTGCATTTTTAGTAGAGAGGGCCGGGCCAGAACAGAGCTTATTAGAGGGCTGGGCACAGTGGCTCATGCCTGTAATCCTAGCACTTTGGGGGACCAAGGTGGTAGGATCAGTTTAGCCCAGGAGTTTGAGATCATCCTAGTTAACATGGCAAGACCCCAATCTCTATGTAAAAATAAATTTTTAAAAATTAAAAGAAAATCATGGTCCTACCTCTGCTACTGTTCAGTGCTGTGTCAAGAGGCAAGTCAACTCACCACCCTGGGCTTCGGTTTCTTCCCCCACTAGACCAGGGATAATTACTGTCTTCTTCACAGTGTGAACAAGATAAACCATTAACTGGGCATGATGGCAGGCACCCAGATACTTGGAAAGGTGGGGCAGGAGGATCACTTGAGCCCAGGAATTCGAGTGGCAACAAGTGAGACCTCATCTCTACAAACAATTTTTTTAAGTTAGCCAGGTTGTGCACCTCTGTGGTGCCAGCTGCTCGGAAGGCGGATCCCTTGAGCCCAGGAGGTTGACGCTGCAGTAAACTATGATCCAGCCAGCCTGGGCAACAAAGTGAGGCCCTGTCTTAAAAAACACCAACAGGCTGGGTGTGGTGGCTCATGCTTGTAATCCCAGACTTTTGGGAGGCAGAGGTGAGTGGATCATTTGAGGTTAGGAGTTTGAGACCAACATGGCCAACATGGTGAAACCCTATCTCTACTAAAAATACAAAAATTAGCCAGGTGTGATGGCAGGCACCTGTAGTCCTAGCTCCTCGGGAGGCTGAGGCAGGAGAGTCTCCTGAACCTAGGAGGCAGAGATTGCAGTGAGCCAAGATCATGACACTGCACTCCAGCCTGGATGACAGAGCGACAATTCGTCTCAAAAAAAAAAAAAGAGGTTAAAAATCACGATCACGATGTAGGCCAAGTCTCTCGTTCTATCCTCGCCCCCTCCACTTTTATTCCTGAGGCAACTAAGACTCAGACGGGCCCGAGGTCCCATGTCGGGCTGGGTGGATCTTGTGCTGTCCTGGGAGGGAGCTAATGGTGAGATGTTAAAGCCAATCCTTCCTTTCCCTACCTCCACTGTCATGGAGGGCTCCTGTTCCCACGCTCTACCCAGCTGCCAGGACCCCGACTCACCCAGGTTATAGAGCAGAAAGAGGCCCTGGAAAGCCGGCTGGCGGGGGTGCGGTCCGGTGCTCCGAGCGTAGCAGCGCCGCAGCGAGCCGAAGCCCTCCTGCACCTGGGCCTGCAGCAGCACCGGGTCCGCGGGTCCCCGCGCCACGTCGGGCCCGAGCCGCGCCACCACGGCCAGCAGCGTGGCCAGCGCCGCCTCGAGCACCACTGCTGCCTCGGCGTCGCCCGCGCCCTGCAGGGCCAGGTCCAGGCGCACGGCTCGCAGGCGGTCCGCCACGAAGCTGGCCACCTCTGCGCGGGCGGCGTCTGTGCTCTCTGCCACCTCACCCGCCAGGTAGCGCACGGTGGCCAGCAGCACAGAGGGCGGACGCAACTGGCTGGGTGGGGGCCGGGGCTTGCCGGCGGCTGGTCGGCTGTACTCCTTCACCGCGCGCTGCGGATCAGCGCGCGGCGGGTCCTGGCGACACCCCGGCGCCACCTCCAAGCGGTGCAGGCGGCGCTCCCTTTCACGCTGGGCGCGCTCGGCGGCCGGGCACATGTCCGGGCAGGTGCCCGCGGGCAGTTCGCAGCCGGGCATGAGGGGGTGCGAGGAGACGGTGGGGGCTCAGCATCCCGGGGACGGCGGTGCCGCGGAAGAGCACGCGAGGCCGGCTGGCTATAGGGAGCAACGGAACGGGGCTGAACCTGGCTGGGCCGTCCTGCCCGCCATGATCTTCGGCCTCCTGGTCGCCCGTCGGGCCACCGCCGTCCTCCCCTGCCCACCTCCGTCCTCTCACCCGGTCCCGTCGAATCGGCCTCCCCAGATGCACTGCGCTGTAGTCCTGCAACGTCCCTGTAGTTCCCGCGCGGCAAAGAGTCCCCATCAAGCGCCAAGTACAGCTTAGCGCGCACCCCTTGGTGTTTTTAGAGTGTAGTTCCGGCCGCTCCCATGATACACCGGTGTAATCCCTGCCACAACCAATCGCTTTGTGGTGAGGCGAGGCGGGGCGGGACTGAGGCCACGCCCCCCAGTCCTGCGGCGCTGCAGCCTGCTGAGCAATCCGTATTTGGCTTTGGGGCCTCGGAGACAGGTACCCCCGCTTTGGGTTCCTCTCCTTCGTCCCTTCCACCCAATAAAACGGCTCCAACGGCTTGTCATTTTCTTTTCCCTGGAGACTATGCTCCCTATTTTCTAGCTCAGGGATCAGCAAATGCTTTCTGCAAAGGGCCACGTTTTGGGATTTGCAGGCGGCAAAGCCTCAACTCTGCAACTGCTCAGTTGCCAGTGTAGCGCGAACGCAGCCATCACAATACTAAATGAATCAGCCTGTTTGTGTTCCAGCAAGTTTTATTTATAGACTCTTAAATTTCATATAATTTTCACCTGTCACAGAGTATTAATTTTTTTTAATTAAAAAAAATGTAAAAACCACTGTAGCTCACAGGCCTTACATTAAAAAGGAGGTGGGCTGGATCTGTCTGCAGGGAGGAGTTTGCAGATCCGTTCTAGAGGGGTCTAATGACCCCTCTAGATGCTCACACATCAAGACAGGCAGGGGCCAGGCACGGTGACTCATGCCTGCAACCTCGGCACTTTGGGAGGCTGAGGCAGGCGGATCATTTGAGGTCAGGAGTTCCAGAGCAGCCTGGCCAACATAGTGAAATCCCATCTCTATTAAAAATACAAAATATTAGCTGGGCATGGTGGCGAGTGCCTACAATCCCAGCTACTGGGGAGGCTGAGACAGGAGAATCGCTTGAACCTGGGAGGCAAAGGTTGCAGTGAGCTTGTGATCACATCGCTGCACTCCAGCCTGGGTGACAGAGTGGGACTCCATCTCAAAAAAAAAGGCAGGGTCAGAAGTGTGAGTCCTTGATTCCAAGGTGGTAGGTGTAGTTAGGGAGCTGAGATTCATTATTTTTCTCATTCTTGGTCCAGTTACCTTCAGAAATGGCCCCTGGGGTTATAAGACCAGGAGGTAGGGCCAGGCCCTGGGGAGAGGACAAGGGGCTGGCAGTGCTGGAGTGAGAGTCCCAGGGAAGGACCCACTCCCCATCAGGGTGGGAGCTGGGGCAGGTGCAGGTGCAGAATCTCCTCTGCCCGCTTCAGGTACTCGGCTGCCTTCCTCTTCACACCTTCCTGGCGGGCAGGCGATGGGTCACCTGTGGAGAGACTGCTCAGCTGAGGCACCTGGGCACCAATGGTCTAGTCAGAACCCCTAGTCTGGTCCTTTACAATTCACAGAGCATCACCATGTGCTTTTCCCTCCTCCGGGGGCCCAGTGTCCATTCTCCCCATTCTACAAATAAGAAACCTGAGGGCACAAGAGGTTAAAAAAAAGAAACAGAAACAAAAATCTGCCCAAGGTCACACAGCTGGTCAGTGAGGAGCAAGAGCTCCTGATCCTTGAAGTGCTTGTTTTTCGCTCCCTTTTTCACTGCCCATCTGGGACCCAGGACTGACCCTCCACCCGCAGTCCCTACTCACTGGGCACTCCCTGGAGTAAGACGTGCACACCGTCTCGGTAGCCCTGGAGTGCGTCAGCGTAGGCGCCTGCCTTCTCATCACGCAGGGCCTGGGTGATGAGCTCTGTGGCCTGGCTTAGATAGGCAGGGGTGGGCCCTCCTTCCCCGTCCTCTTCTTCCTCCTGCCCTCCTGGTTCCCAGGGTTCCTGATCCAGTCTTCCCGACTCCACCTCCATCGTTGCCAGCTCAGCCACATGGGTGGGGCTGGGGGTTGCACCTTCTGCAATCAGAGAGGACTCAGACCAGACGAGCCCTTCCTTTCCCAAGGCTCTCTGCCCAACTCCCAGACCTCTCTTGTCCATCAGGGTATCTGCTTGTCCCCAGTGGAGGGGACCAATGCCAGAGCAATCCAGAAGTCGCCTGTGGATCAAAAACTAGCCATGATCTATTTGATCGATAGGGTTCATGTGCTTTTGTAAAAACAGCCTTACCTTCCTCTTTTTTTTTTTTTGAGACAGAGCTTCATTCTTGTTGCCCAGGCTGGAGTGCAATGGCATGATCTCGACTCACTGAAACCTCCCATATGCTGAGTGAATGTCTTACAGGAGCTGTCTGTGAAGGGTCTTGAAAAGATCCTGGCTGGACACAGTGGCTCATGCCTATAATCCAGCACTTTGGGAGATTGAGGTGGGAGGACTACTTGAACCCAGGAGATTGAGACCAGCCTGGGCAACACAGTGAGCTCTCGTCTCTACAAAAATGAAAAAACTTAGCTGGGCATGATGGTGAATGCCTGTGGTTCTGTCTCAGCTATTCAGGAGGCTGAGGCGGGAGGATCACTTGAGGTCAGGAGTTCGAGACCAGCCTGACCAACATGGCAAGACCCTATCTCTACTAAAAATACAAAAATCAGCCAGGCGGCACACGTCTATAGTTCCAGCTACTCGGGAGGCTGAGGCAGGAGAATTGTTTGAATCCAGCAGGCGGAGGTTGGAGTGAGGTGACATCGTGCCACTGCACTCCAGCCTGGGCAATCCAGAGCAAGACTCAATCTCAAAAAAAAAAAAAAGGCTAGGCACAGGGGCTCACACCTGTAATCCCAACACCCTGGGCGGCCAAGACGGGTGGATCACCTGAGGTTGAGAATTGGAGACCAGCCTAACCAACATGGAGAAACCTCGTCTCTACTAAAACTACAAAATTAGCTGGGCGTGGTGGTGCATGCCTGTAATCCCAGCTACTTAGGAGGCTGAGGCAGAAGAATCGCTTGAACCCAGGAGGCAGAGATTGCTGTGAGTGATCCTGCCATTGCATGCCAGCATGGGCAACAAGAATAAAACTCTGTCTCAAAAAAAAAAAAAAGTGAAAGGAGAGTCCTCACAGCCTAAGGTCACTGGTCAGGCTTGAGCCAGGTGGAGTTGGGAGGCTGAGACCGGGAGGCTGTGGTCCTCATTCAGAAAGGACTAGACTTTTTTTTTTTTTTTTCTGAGACGGAGTCTTACTCTGTTGCCCAGGTTGGAGTGCTGTGGTACGATCTCAGCTCACTGCAACCTCCGCCTCCTGGGTTCAAGTGATTCTCCTGCCTCAGCCTCCCGAGTAGCTGGGACTACAGGCATGCGCCACCACGTCTGACTAATTTTTTGTATTTTTAGTAGTGATGGGGTTTCACTCTTGACCTCGTGATCCACCCAACTCCGACTCCCTAAGTGCTGGGATTACAGGCATGAACCACTGTTCCCCGCCAGGACTAGACTTTTTCTTGCCTGAGGGAGAGAGCTCACATGCCTTAAACTGACCAGAAAGCCACGGGTCTGTCTGCCCAGGAGGTCACCAAAGGGTGAAGAAGGGACACCAACAAAACAGGCTTAAAACTGCTAAGGAATCAAAATGGAAACTCTCCCATGATGATTCCGGAGTGAGATCAGCCCCTCCACACCAATGCCAGCAGTGACAAATTTACCATAAACTTGGCAAATTTTTTCTTTTCCTTATATTTTAAAAATAGGTTTTGCTTTGTTGGTTTCTTTTTGAGATGGAGTCTTGCTCTGCTGCCCAGGCTGGAGTGCAATGGCATGATCTCGGCTCACTCAACAGCCTCACCTCCCCGGTTCAAGCGATTCTCCTGTCTCAGCCTCCCGAGCAGCTGGACTACAGGCACACGCCACCATGCCTGGCCTTATGTAAGTTTTTAATTTTAATTTTTGTATTTATTTATCTTTCTGAGACAGAGTCTTGCTCTATCACCAGGCTGGAGTGCAGTGGCGCAATCTCAGCTCACTGCAACCTCCACCTCCCAGATTCAAGCGATTCTCCTGCCTCAGCCTCCCAAGTAGCTGGGACTACAGGCGCGAGCACCAGCATGTCCAGGTAATTTTTGTATTTTTAGTAGAGACAGGTATCACCATGTTGGCCAGGATGGTCTCAATCTCTTGACCTCATGATCTGCCTGCCTTGGCTTCCCAAAGTGCTGGAGTTACAGGTGTGAGCCACCATGCCTGGCCTTATATAAGTTTTTAATTCTAAGAATAACAGGCTGGGTGCTGTGGCTCACGCCCATAATTCCAGCACTTTAGGAGGCTGAGACGGGCAGATCACTTGAGGTCAGAAGTTCAAGACCAGCCTCACCACATAGTGAAACCTCTTCTCTACTAAAAATACAAAAATTAGTCAGGTACCGTGGTGTGCGCCTGTAGTCCCAGCTACTCGGGAGGCTGAGGAAGAAGAATGGCTTGAACCCAAGAGGTTGCAGTGAGCGGAGATTGCGTCACTGAGCTCCGGAATGGGTGACAGAGTGAGATTCCATCTCAAAAAAAAAAAGAGTAACAGACATGGGGTCTCACTCTATTGCCCAGGCTGGTCTTGAATTCCTGGACTTAAGCGATATTCCCACCTCAGCCTCCCAAAGTGTTGAGATTACATGTGTAAGTAACTGTACCAGGCCTTGCCAAATCTTAGAATGAAAAACTCCAGTGTCTCAGAACGTGGGACTGTCAAGTCCCAGGATCTCAGAGCAAGAAGGCGCCCAGGACCCTGACCTCCACTGGGGGGCCCTTCTATCTCTGGCGTCCTCAAATGCCAGTGGCTCCAGGCCCCCAGAGGGGTTTCCCTTTGTGGATGCTCTTTGGGCTCAGACCTCACCCCCATTGACCAG